AAAAAAAAAAAAAAAAAAGAAAAAGAAAAAAAAAAGCAAAGTCAGATCATAGGGTTTGTACATTATACATTTTGATAAATTGTCAAATTGTTCTCTTAAAAGGCTCTACCATGGCTGAGCATGGTGACTCACACCTGTAATCCCATCATTTTGGGAGGCTGAGTCAGGCAGATCACGAGGTCAGAAGATCGAGACTATCCCGGCTAATAGGCTAACATGGTGAAACCCTGTTTGTACTAAAAAAAAAAAAAAAAAAAAAAAAAGCCAGGTGTGGTGGCAAGCACCTGTAGTCACAGCTATTTGGGAGGCTGAGGAAGGAGAATCGCTTGAACCCAGGAGGTAGAGGTTGTAGTGAGCCAAGATCACGCCACTGTACTCCAGCCTGGTCGACACAGTGAGACTCTGTCTCCAAACAAACAAACAAAAAACTTAGCCAGGTGTGGTGGCATTTGCTTGCATGTCTAGCTACTAGGGAGGCTGAGGTGGGAGGACCACCTGAACCCGGGGAGGCTGGGGCTACAGTGAGCCATGATTGTGCCACTGCACCCAAGCCTGGGTGAGCAAACGCGTGGTGGCACATGTCTGTAATCCCAACGCACATAAGGCTCTACCAAATGTATGTAACAGTGTGAAATGTAACTCATTCACCCACATCATTCCCAATATAAGATGTGATAACTTTGATTTTGCCAATTTGGTGGGTGAAAAATGGTACCTCTTCCATGCTGTAATTTTATTTTATTTTTTATTTTTCTTTTTGAGACAGAGTTTTGCTCTTGTTAACCAAGATAGAGCACAACGGTGTGATCTTGGCTCACTGCAACCTCCGCTTCCCAGATTGAAGCAATTCTCCTGCCTCAGCCTCCAGAGAAGCTGGGGTTACAGGCATGTGCCACCACTCCTGGCTAACAATTTTTATTTATTTCATTATGTTAGCTTGAGCATTTCCTCATATATTTATGGGCTATTTTATTTCCTTTGTGAATATTTTGGCAGTACTGAGGATCTGTAGACCTGCTAAAATTGAACACAAAGTTTTGTGGGCAAGTACATAAATGTATTTTTTCTGGAGAAAGAACCATAACTTTCATTAGATTTTCAAAGGGGTCCAAGATTCAAAAAAAGTTTACGTGCCTCTGTTTTAAGGATATCCTAACTAGTCTCTGCCAAGTCTTTTCTCCCATTTCATTATTCGGCACAATAAAACGAAATTATTCTTCCTAAGTCACTGATTTCATTATGTTCACACACACACAGTCTGGTAGCCCCAACCATTTTAAACTATCCTTAACAAAAATTAGGCTGGGTATGGTGGCTCATGCCTGTAATCCCAGAACTTTGGGACGCCAAGGTGGGTGAACTGCTTCAGCCTGGGCAATAAGGCAAAACTCTACCTCTATAAAAAGATGCAAAAATTAGCCGGGCATCATGGTGGGCATCTATGGTCCCAGATACTGGGAAGGCTGAGGTGGGAGAATTGCTTGAGCCTGGGAGGCAGAGGTTGCCGTGAGCTGAGATTGTGCCACTGCACTTCAGCCCAGGTGACAGAGCAAGACCCTATCTCACAAACAATGACAAAACAAAAATTAGAGTATGCATGGCCAAAAAGGTATTCCTACTCTTTCAGTACAGTAAATTCATATAAGTAAATTCAAGCATAAAATTATAGGTGGAAAAGTCCATTCCATTAACCCTTATGAATGGAATGGTCTTTTTTTTTGAGATGGAGTCTCACTCTGTTGCCTAGGCTGGAGTGCAGTGGCATGATCTTGGCTCACTGCAACCTCCACCTCCTGGGTTTAAGTGATTCTCCTGCTTCAGCCTTCTGAGTAGCTGGGATCACAGGCATGCGCCACCATGCCCAGCTAATTTTTGTATTTTAGTAGAGATGCTGTCTCACCATATTGGTCAGGCTGGTCTTAAACTCCTGACCTTGTGGTCTGCCCTCCTTGGCCTCCCAAAGTGCTAGGATTACAGGCATGAGCCACTGTGCTTGGCCAAAAACAACAACAACAAC